CGAGGCGAGAAACTACCCCCCGGGGCAGGGGAAGGGGCAAAAGGGCGCCTGGGGCCGTGGCCTTCTGGACCGAGCTGCAAGAGACGGGACCGGACGGGGCCAGGACGAGGATAAATCCGCTCCAGATTGATTCGGACATATCCGTTGCCCCATGCCAGGCCCGAATCGGGCCCAGGAGCGGTGCACACGCCCTCCGGGCTAGGCCATGGAGGCATACGCGGCATAGGTCGGACGGGGCTGTGACAGAACGCTCTGCCAAGGCCGCGGCGCCCTCCCGAGCCGCGGGATCTCAGAGATTTTCGACTCATCCTCACCCGACTTTGTCCTCGTCCTGGCTTCGTCTTCCAGGGGTCAGTGAGTGCAAGCGGGGGTCAGCCAGAGCGCCCGAATCCCCACTGACTCACCACGCGGTGCGGGCCGCCACCTTCAGGAGACGCCACCTCCTCGAGGCGGTGGGCCCCAAAGCACACTCCAGAGCCGTGTAGGACGGCCCCCGACCTCCAAAGGCTTCCTCGAGCTGCTGTGCGGGCCGGACTTCCGTACAATGGCCGAAAGGCCGTCCAAACGGCGCTCTCGCCCCGGCGCGGGTAGCTCACCGCCAGCGTCACTTGCACGCCGTGGCCAGTTTCAGAGCGAATCATGATGATGTCTCAGCAGAGACCAGCTTTTTGGGTTCAGATGGGGTGCTGGATGACAGGGGCGAATCCAACGCACTTTTGACGAAAGGCAAAATCCAAGTGATGTCCCTGCATATTCCAGTTTGCTTGCCGCCAGTTTTCGTCGAACGCGTGCGGAGCAAGGGTCCGACGGTCATAATGCATCAGTGTGCAGGCAGTTGCACGTCTCGTGGAGGATGTTGCGGAGCTTATTCCCATCTTCGACGTCGTGAAGTCTTCTTATCCTTGTCGCGCCTCGGTCTACTCATTCCCTCCTCTCTCCTTCTCCATCCCACGATCAGAATCATCGCGATGTGACAGGCATAGCACTTGGGCAATACAAGGGGGTGCCGCCAGGGGACGGGTCACTTACCGATTCGTGCCCAGATTGTGGGGATGTCTCCAGCGGTTCGCTTGTTTCGCGGATGTAGGCGCGTCTTCTCAGGGCCGCGTGTTGTTCGCGATGTCGCAACCATAGCTCTTGGGCGCCACAAGGGGGAGCGACCACGGGGTACACCGAAGGCCCCAGTGGCAGGGTTCACTTGGCGGTCCCGCCTCACTTCGACCATCACACGCTTCGTGGCCCCATAAGGGGGCTCCACCGAAGGTCCCGGTGGCAAAGTTCGCATGGCGGCCCCGCCCCATTTCAACGCACCCCTCACACGTTTCGTGGCCACATGGGGAGCTCCACCGAAGGACCCAGTGGCAAAGTTCGCATGGCGGCCCCGCCCCATTTCGGCACACCCCTCACACGTTTCGTGGCCACATGGGGAGCTCCACCGAAGGCCCAAAGTTCGCATGGCGGCCCCGCCTCACTTCGAAGCACCCCTCCCACGTTTCGTGGCCCCGTAGGGAGCTCCACCGAAGGACCCAGTGGCAAAGTTCGCATGGCGGCCCCGCCCCATTTCGGCGCACCCCTCACACGCTTCGTGGCCTCATAGGTACACCGAAGGCCCCAGTGGCAAAGTTCGCATGGCGGCCCCGCCCCAATTCGGCGCACCCCTCACACATTTCGTGGCCACATGGGGAGCTCCACCGAAGGCCCAAAGTTCGCCTGGCGGCCCCGCCTCACTTCGAAGCACCCCTCCCACGTTTCATGGCCCCGTAGGGAGCTCCACCAAAGGACCCAGTGGCAAAAGTTCGCATGGCGGCCCCGCCCCATTTCGGCGCACCCCTCACATGTTTCGTAGCCCCATGGGGAGCTTCACCGAAGGTCCCAGTGGCAGGGCTCGCATGGCGCAGCCGCACCCATTCCAGCACAACCCTCACGCGTTTCGTGGTCTCCTTGGGGAGCTCCCCCGAAGGCCCCAGTGGCAAGATCGTATGGCGCCACCGCTCAAGTTCGGCGCACCCTTCACACGTTCCGTGGCCACATAGGGATCTCCACTGAAGGCCCCAGTGGCAGGGTTCGCATGGCCCAACCGCACTCATTTCGGCACAACCCTCACGCGTTTCGTGGCCCCACTGGGAGCTCCACCGAAGGCCCTCTGGCAGGGTTCGCATGGCACCACCGCGCGCATTTCGGCACACCCCTCACATGTTCCGCAGCCCCACAGTGAGTTCCACCGAAGGCCCCATTGGCAGGGCTCGCACGGCGCAGCCACGCCCATGTCGGCACAACCCTCACGCGTTCCGTGGCCCCACAGAGAGCTTCACCGAAGGCGGGGTTCACAACTGAACGAAGGATTGCAAAAAAACCCTGGATTGAAAAAAAACCCTGGATTGCAAACAACCTTGGATTGTTTTTTTGTTTGCAATCCTGGGTTTTTTTTTGCAATCCACAGAAAGCTTCACCGAAGGCGGGGTTCACAACTGCTGTATTCACAGTTGAAAGAGCGCGCCCACAGCGCCGACAGCACGGGGGGGGGTCCCCCCTTAGTCAACCCCCCTCCCTTCCACCTCCCCTGCTGGGAGCCCCCCCCCCCTCCCCCCCTTTTTCGCCTCCCCCTGAAGCGACCCCCCCCCATTCCCCCCTTTCGCCACTCCGATGCTCCCCCCCCCCCTCCCCCCCTTTCCAGAGGGAGGGGGGAGCTTAGCTACCCCCCCTCCCCTTGACCACCCTCTGCCGGAAGCTTCCCCCCCCTCCCCCCCTTTACTTCCAAAGTCCAAAGGGTGGGGTGGGGCTCAGCAGCCCCCCCACCCTCTCCCCCCTTTCGGCGCCCGGGCTACCCCCCCTTCCCCTCCTTACGAAAAGAAAGGAGGGGGGCTAACCTACGAAATAGCGCGTTCTGTGGTCGCTTGGGAAGGGGGGGGGGGAAACCGGACCCCTTCCCCCCCCCCCCCCTGGATGGAGAGGGGGGACGGGGGTTCGAACACCCCCACCCCCCTCCTTCCCGTGACGGGGGGGGGGTCGAACCGCATGTGCCGAATCCCAACCCACAAGGCCCAATCCCAACCAACTGGGACCAATCCAATCCCAACCAGTGCGAAAAGCAAACTGGGCCCAATCCCAACCTGCTTGGGATAGCCTCACAATAAGGTTTTAAGCGTAGAGGAGCCCAAGACGACTGTAAGGACCAAGTGACACCTCTTATGTCAACGCAGAGGTTCTGGAAGCCAACATACGTGCCAGAGTTGGATTTGGTTTCAGTTTGGTCTGCGCACGAGCACTATGTTAAGATGAGCAAGAGGGCACCGAACTGTAAGCACAACCGCACCGAATTGCATCGATTCGGAAATATGCAAAGTGGCTCCTAGTAGTAGTAGTAGTAGTAGTAGTAGTAGTAGTAGTAGTAGTAGTAGCAGTAGTAGTAGTAGTAGTAGTAGTAGTGGTGGTGGTGGTGGCAGTAGTAGTAGTAGTAGTAGTAGTAGTAGTAGTAGTAGTAGTAGTAGTAGTGGTAGTGGTAGTAGTAGTAGTAGTAGTAGTAGTAGTAGTAGTAGTAGAAGTAGTAGTAGTAGTAGTAGTAGTAGTAGTAGTAGTAGTAGTAGTAGTAGTAGTAGTAGTAGTAGTAGTAGTAGTAGTAGTACGTACTCGTAGTTGTAGTCGTAGTAAGTAATGGTCGTAGTAGTAGTGACAGTAGTAGCAGAATTAGTAGTAGTAGTAGTAGTAGTAGTAGTAGTAGCAGTAGTAGTAGTAGTAGTAGTAGTAGTAGCAGTCGTAGTAGAAGTAGTCGTAGTCGTAGTCGTAGCCGTAATGGTAGTAGGCGTAGTCGTAATAGTGGTAATAGTAGTAGTTGTAGTAGTAGTAGTAGTAGTAGTAGTAGCAGCAGCAGTAGTAGTAATAGTAGTAGTAGTAGTAGTAGTAGTAGTGAGTAGTCGTAGTAGTAGTAGTAGTAGTAGTAGTAGTACTACTACTAGTTGTAGTTGTAGTAGTAGTAGTAGTAGTTGTTGTTGTGTTGTAGACGTAGTCGTAGTAGTAGTCGTAGAAGTAGTAGTAGTAGTAGTAGTAGTAGTAGTCGTAGTGTAGTAGTGAGTAGTAGTAGGAGTAGTAGTAGTAGTAGTAGTCGTAGTAGTACTAGTAGTAGTAGAGTAGTCGTAGTAGTAGTAGTAGTAGTAGTAGTAGTAGTAGTAGTAGTGGTAGTGTAGTGGTAGTGGTAGTGGTAGTGGGTGTGGTGGCAGTGGCAGTGTGGCAGTGGCAGTAGTAGTAGTGGTAGTAGTAGTAGTAGTCGTAGTAGTAGTAGTAGTAGTAGTAGTAGTAGTAGTAGTAGTAGTAGTAGTAGTAGAGTAGTAGTTAGTAGTAGTAGTAGTAGTAGTAGTAGTAGTAGTAGTAGTAGTAGTAGTAGTAGTAGTAGTAGTAGTAGTAGTAGTAGTAGTAGTAGTAGTAGTAGTAGTAGTAGTAGTAGTAGTAGTAGTAGTAGTAGACGTCGTAGTCGTCGTAGTAGTCGTAGTAATAATATTCCCATTGGTCGTGAGATGATGATGAGGAGGAGGAGGAGGAGGAAAATGAATAGGAGGAGGGGCCCGCACCAAAATTATTTCCGTCGGCCTAAGGATTGCTTAGGATTCTCATGGAGTCGTGAAGATTCTTCTGGATTTCTGAAAGAATCCGGAGGAATCCTGAAGAATTCCTAAGGATCCCAAGGAATCCTAAGGAGCCTAAGGAATCCTAAGGATCCTAAGGCATCCCAAGGACCCCAAGAAATCCGAAGGATCCTAAGGAATCCTACGGGATCCTAAGGAATCGAAGTACTTCTGAAGAAGAAAGAAATACTTCTGAAGAAGAAAGAAGTACTTCTGAAGATCCCATGGTTGTAATTGGTCCCATTTATGGTTGCAATTCGCTCCGAACGGTTGGAATTGGGACTAGTCGGTTGTAATTCGTCCCATTTCGGGTTCGACCCCCCCCCCCTTCCCCCCCCCCTCCCTCCTCTGCGTCCTCTCTCCTTGGGCAGGCGCTTGTGTCGGCGGCGGCTCGCGACGGCGGCGGGGACGACGATTTCCATTTCTGGGCTGGCGCCGGCGCCTGCGTCGGCGGGCGGCGGTGGCGGGGAGCGTCGACGAGGACGACGGTGGCTTGTGGTGGTGGTGGTGATGGTGGTGTAGTGGTTTGTGGTGGTAGTGGTGGGTTGTGCTGCTGGTAGTGGTGGTGGTTGTGGCGGTGGTGGTGGTGGTGGTGGTGTGGTAGATTGTGGTGGTGGTGGTAGTGGTGGTGGGTTTTTGTGGTGGTGGTGGTGATTGTGAGTTGTGGTGGTGGTTGTGGTGGTGGTGGTGGCTGTGGTGGTGGTGGTGGTTGTGTGGTGCTGTTGGTGGTGGTGGTGGGTTGAGGCGGTAGTGGTGGTGGTAGTGGTGGTGGTGAAAATCATGGTGGTAAGTGTCGCTGCGTCCCCGCCGTCGCGGCGCTGCTGGCCGCCGCCACCGCCGGCGCTGGCGCGAGGGGGGTGGGGGGTTGAAACTTCCCTCCCTCCTTGGCGCCCGGGGGGGGGTTGAACCCCCCCTTGGGCTGCCTCTGGTCATCGTCGCTGCGTCCCCGCCGTGGGCGCTGCTGGCGGCCGCCAGGAGTTGAACCCCCCCGCCCTTTTGGGAGGGGGGGGGGGTGGGGGGGAGGGGAGTCCCCCTGGTTTTGATCGACGGCGCCGAGTGTTGTGGGGGGCCCACCCCCCGGTTCGAAACGCGCCGCCGAATGTTCCCCAGGCGAGCGCCCGTGAAACGTGGTTTCTCTTACTTACCCTCCCGTCCCCTTGACCCTCCTCTGAGGGAAGTTCCCCCCTCCTCCCCCCCTTTTACTTCCAAAGGGAATGAGGGACTTAGCAGCCCCCCCCTCCCTTTCGGCACCTGGGAAACTACCCCCCCTCCCCCAAATCGGAAGGCGGAGCATAGCAACATCCCTCCCTCTCTTGACCTTCCTATGGCGGACCCCCCCCGCGCCTCAATGTGTTCCTCTTCCCCTGCAGGAAACCACCCCCCTTTTCCAAAAGGAGGAAACGCGGCTTAGCTACCACCCCTTCCCTTGAACTCCCCCTGCCGGACGATCCTCCCCCGTCGCCGTCGTCGTTGCCGTCGCCGTCGCTTGGCGTCTTCGTACGACGCCATCGTCATCGTCGTCGTTGTCGCCGCCGTCGCCGTTATTGCCGCCGTCTTCGCATGACCTCGTCGTGGTCGTCACGACGAGGACGAGGTCATGCGAAGACAGCGACGGACGACGCGCGACCGACGACCGACGACGACGACGACCCAGGGTCTGAGAAAACGAGACCACGACCCAGGGGCAGAGAAAACGAGGAAACGAAGCAGGGTCCGAGAAAACGAGATCACGGCCCAGGGGCCGACAAAACGAGAAAACGAACCAGGGCCCAACAAAAAACAACCAGGGCCCGAGAAAACGAGACCACGACCCAGGGGCAGAGAAAACGCGAAAACGAATCAGGGTCCGATAAGACGAGAACACGAACCAGGGGCCGACAAAACGAGACAACGACAAAACAAACCAGTGCCCAAGAAAACAAAACCACGACCCAGGGGCCGAGAAAACGAGACAACGAGAAAACGAACCAGGGCCCGAGAAAACGAGAACACGACCCAAGGGCCGAGAAAACGAGAAAACGAACCAGGGCCCGAGAAAACGAAACAAAACCCAGGGGCAGAGAAAACGAGAACAAACTGGGGCCCGAGAAACCGAGACCACGACCCAGGGGCCGAGACAACAAGAAAACGAGAAAACCAACCAGCGCCCGAGAAATCGAGACCACGACCCAGGGGCCGAGAAAACGATACCGCGACCCAGGAGCCGAAAACACGAGAAAACGAGAACACGAACCAGGGTCCGAGAAAACGAGACCACGACCCAGGGGCAGAGAAAACGAGAAAACGAACCATGGCCCGAGAAAACGAGACCACGACCCAGGGGCAGAGAGAACGAGAAACCGAACCAGGGCCCGAGAAATCGAGACCACGACCCAGGAGCCGAGAAAACGAGAAAACGAAAAAACGAAACGGGGTCCGAGAAAACAAGACGACAACGAAGGGGCAGAGAAAACGCGAAAACGATAAACAAACCAGGGCCCGAGAAAACTGGACCATGACCCAGGGGCCGGGAAACCAAGAAAACGAGAAAACGAACCAGGGTCCGAGAAAACAATACCACGACCCAGGATACGATAAAACAAGAAAACAAGATGACGAATCAGGGTCAGAGAAAACGAGACCACGACCCAGGGGCCGAGGAAACTAGAAATCAAAATTACGAGCCAGGGGCCGAGAAAACAAGATAACAAACAAACCAGGGGTTGACGTTATTCTCCAAAGCGTTCTCTAGCGCTGCGGTGCGCACCTGTCGTCAGGGATTCCGCCGTTTTGCCAGAGCCCCGGAAGAGAAGGGGGGGGCGTAGCTTCGAAAGCCCCCTCCTTTGCAAAGGAAGGGAGAGGGGAATAGCTTCTTGAAGCCGCCCCCCCTGTGCCCAGACCAAAAAAGAAAGGAGGGGGGTGGAGCTTCCGAAGCCCCCCCCCCCTTTGAAAGGGAAACCCGGGCTCACCTTCTGCTCCGGAACAGGGAGGGAGGGGGGGGACAGTTTTGATGCCCCCCCCCTTTTAGCCACAGCCCCCCTAGCTTAGAAACCCTTGCAGAAGCGAGGGGGGGGGGTAGTTTCGGAATCCCCCCCCCTTTGGGGACGGGGGGGGGCAGCTTGAAGTTGGGGCCCCCTTGGGTCCAAACCAAAAAGGAAGGGATGAGGGGGTAGCTTCCGAACCCCCCCTCTTGAAAGGGAAGCCCAGGCTCACCTTCTGCTCCGGAACAGGGAGGGAGGGGGGGGGGTAGCTTCGAAGCCCCCCCCCCGTTAGCCTGGGCCCCCCTCGCTTAGAAACCCTTACAGAAGCGAGGGGGGGGGGGTAGCTTCGGACCCCCCCCTTTTGGAGGGAGTGAGGGGGGAGGTGGCTAGAAGCTGGGCCCTCCTTTTCGTATTCCCGGCGCTGCGGGCGCGCTTTTTCTCACAATTGCATATGGTTGGGTCCTTCGCCGGTTTTTTTTTTCAGGGCCGCCGCGAAGAAAGCGAATACTTGGGCACACCAGAGAGGGAGAGAGGGCGCCAGAGGGTCGGACACTTGCCCGTTGGCGCCCAGATTGTGGGGACGTCCCTTGCGAACAGGTGGCTTTTGGAAGTTATACATGCGTTTTCAGGCAGTGACAACTGCGGTGTAGCAGTCATTACACTTGGGCGCCACAGGGGGTAGGCGCCAGGGGATACATCACGGGTGCGTTCGCGCTCAGCCTGTCGGGACATGTCAGTTGAAAAGTTTGTTTTGGGAATATCGACGCGTCTCTTCTTTGGCCCGCGCAGTCGCCGTGATGACGTAATAGACAAACGATTTGGGCACTACAAGGGTTAGCCGCCAGGGGTCAGGACAATTGCGCGTCAGTGCCCAGAGTGTGGGGATATCTTGCGCCAGACGCTGGCTGTTCAGAGACAAGCGTTTTTTTTCTCAAGGTTGCGTGACCACTGCGATGCAATGGCGGGTAGGACACGTACCCATTGGCGCCGAGCTTGTGGGGGTGCCTCAAGCGGAATTTGTTTTTCATGATATGATTGTGTTTCTTGTTATTCAGGGTTGCGTGGTCGTCTGGATGCGGCAGGCATGGCATTTGGGGGCCGCAAGGGGGGACCGCTAGGGGGTGCATCTCGGGCGCTGTCGCGCTCATATTGCGAGGATATCTCGGCCCGCCCAGTTTCTCACATACCCGTTCATAGACAAGAACCGCAGGGAAATCTAGGCGTTACCTGGCCACTGAAAAGTAGCGAGGGTGAAGAGGATCATAGAGGAGTTCGCCGATGCATAGATGGGGATTTCCCTCGTCGAAGCACTTTTCCTCCCGTCGCTCGTGCAGCATTTCGCTTTTGAGAGGTTCTACCTCCGCGGACATTTGTCCCGTGCAGCCCATGCCCATCTGAATCTCTTCCCCTCCCCCTCCCCGGCGCTCTCCCCCTCGTTGTTCGGGCCCTCCTTTTCCCTTTTGGTTATATTTGGTTCCTCCGCCTTAGTGTTGCCGCGCGGGTTCGGCTGGCCACTCGGGGCTCGGCGCGCGCTGCAGTTGGCGCAGTGTTGTCGGCCAGGCCTCGTTTGCGGCGGGTTGGTTCGCGCTGCGATCCAGGCACAATTGTCGCTGCTCCAGTCCGCGCTGTGCTGCAGCCGCGCGGCTGCTCGTTGCAGCGCGTTCCTTCCCCGCCCCTCGGGGCGGCGCCCCCTCGCCCCCGCCCCCCCGCCCCCCCCGCGGTGGCGCCGACAGCGGTCCGAGCCCGCTTTCGACGGCCGACGGGGGCGGGGGGCCTGGCGCCACGCCCCGGCCTCGCGGGGGGGGGGATTTTCCCTGCCCCTCCTCTTCCTGGTTCGCCCGCCCCTCTTCCTCCTTCTGCGCCGGCCCTGCGCTGCCTCTCAACGCCACTGGACGCGCGCATCGCCCCTGTTTCTGGCGCCCAGGTTGCGAGGAGCTCGCAAGCGACAGCGCCGAGACTATTTTCTGCGCGGCTGGGCTGGTTGGCCGCGTGGGTTTCTGTCCCCGTCGATGTCGAACAACAAAATGCAAGTGCGAGGCGCGCGCCCTCCCTTTCAAACCTCGCACTTATTTTACGAGGGCGCCTCAATTGATGCTGTCGCGTTTAATGGCTGGGTGATTGGTGAATCTGGTCGGCGCGGCTCTCGCTCGAATGCTTGGAAGCGGAGGCCGGTTTTCCGAGCGGGCGCACGACGTGATATTCCTTGGGCCTAAAGTGTTCGCCAGTCCTGCGGCCTTCGCGCACGGTCTGCCTGGCGGCGCGCAAGACCAACTGCCGCGCGGATCGCGCGCCTCCTGCAGCCTGGGCAGCACAAGCTGCCATGCGGTTCACATCGCCCTCGGCCCGCGCGATTCGCGCTGCCCGTGCTTCTCGCCTTGCCCTGTGCAGGGGGCGCCCGCAGGCTTCGCGCGGCCCATGCGGCCTCGCTAGTCCGACGCGGCCCTCGGCACCCGCACCCCGCGCGGGCCACGTGGGCCACGCGGCCCTGGCGTTTCGCGCAGCTCACGCGGCCCACGCGCGCCGCAGCCCACGCGCAAGCGTCGCCCCCGCCACCGTGCCCCGAGCGCTCTTGCGACATGGGCGCCAGCTGCGCGCGGGCTAGGATCTGACTTGCGCAGTCCGTCCTCGCCCCGACTGTCTTCCTCCTTTTTTGCCTTGGCGTTTTCCAGCCCGTTGCGTGGGCCCCCCTTTTCCCAATGCGTTCTCCGTTGTTCCTCCGCCTCTTCGTTGCCGCGCGGATTTGGCCGGTGGTTTGCGGTTGTCGGGGCGCGCTGCAGTTGGCCGCGGCTCGTCCGCCAGGCCTCGCTCGCGGCGGGTTGGTCCGCGCTGCGCTCAGGCGCATCGAGCGCCTTTCCACGTCGCGATGCGCTGGATCCGCGCGGCGGCGCGTTGCAGCGCGTTCCTTCTCTCGTTCCTTTCCCTCCTGCGAGCCACTCTGCATTGCTGTTTGCGGACGGGCGTCGAGCGGCGTTCCGACTTTCCCACCTCGCCCCTTCGACGCAGGCTCCCGCGGACGAAGGGGGCGGGGGGCACATGCAGAGCGCCCCTGCCTTGCGGGGGGACATGTTCTGTTCTTCCTTATTTTCCGGATTCTTCCCGCCCGCGCCCTCCCATTTATCAGCCCCGCCACTACGCGCGCCCTCCCCTTGTCGTGGCGCCCGCGACGCTAGGAAGTCTCAGACGGCAATGCCGCGACGTTTGGTTGTCCGCCTCCTCCAGCCCCAGCCGCGGCCGTCGCAATCGCGCCCCCCCTGCTCAGCGCGGCCACTTTCAGGATTGCAGGATGCTCGCGTCTTTCCCCGCAGCGTGATTCGCGTGGCCACTTATTTGTTTGACGTATCCGCATCACGCCCCCCCGCACCCTCGCCCCTCGACGCCCTCGCGCGCGCGTCGCGCGCGCGGCAGGTCCGCAGACCCATTCGCAAGCAAACCCGCTAACACATAGTCCCACTCACACCCGACTTCGACTCATTCACACCGTTCTCGAACAGAATCATTCAGGCTCATTCGCCCCCATAATCAACCATATTTAGATTAATCATACCTTGATGCGCTCATGCGCGGCATGAGGCCTACCCAAATGTAGCAGGCGTAGTTGTGCGGCACCCCAAGGAGGTGCCGCCCGGGAGTGGTCGTTTGGTGGACCATACCGTTCTGTTTTGATAGACGCGCGAATGCGTGGCATTTGGGCGCCCCGAAGAACAAACGCCAGGAGGTCGGGCACGCGTCCGTTCGCGATCGCATTGCGAGGATTTCCAGGTTGTTGGCTCGTTTGGCAAAAAGTACAATTGTATTGCGAACGCGTTGTCAGCGTGGTATAGCAAGAGACCCACTCATTTGGGCGCCCCAAGAACGAGCCGCCAGGGAACAACACATGCCCGTTCGAGCCCAGATTGTGGCGGTCTGTTCGTTGCGCGGGATAGATTATTCTCCCTTGGGAGCCGTGTGGTCGCCGCGACGAGACGGGCGTGGCATTTGGGCACCCCGGGATGGGCCCACGTTGTGGTTGATGTCTCAATCGGGTTGCGCGTTTTTTGGGTCATCTCATTTTTTTCTGGTTGAACAACCACACGACCGCCACGATATAGCAGGCGTGGCACCAGATCACCCCAAGGACAAGCCGCTAGAATGTATGATGTTTGTCCCGTCGCGCGAATGTCGCGTGGATATGTTAGGCGGTGTGCTCGGCTTGGAGTCGCCTCTTGTGGGGGGCGCATGGTTACCGCGATACAGCAGTCATTGCAACCAGACGCTTCAGCGACGCATTGTCAATGAGGGGGGGGCACTGGTCCGCTCGCGCCTAAAAGCAGATTGCTTCCTCTTTTTCGCACGCAGCCCGACGCGGACTGAGATTAGGCTTCTGCGCACAAAACGTTCACACACTGCTCATTCATGTTCACATGTACTCATATGATTATTGCCCGCATTTACCAAGTTCATTCAGGCCCATTGATACCCAGACTCATGCGCACGCCGATTTATTACCCTGTTCGGACACAGCCGCCTTCATATTCACGTACACTCAGACCCACCCACATTCAGACTCACTGGCACGGAGGCTGAACACGCTCATTCCGCAACCGTTCACATATACTCACTATTCAACAATGGGGCACGCCAGTGTGGGAGCCGCCATGGGGAAAGCATCTGCCTGTTCCCAGCTTGGTTGTGGACACGCATCAAGAGAAACACTGGTTCTGGCACACATGTTTTTTTTTTATTTTGGAATCCTATGATCACCGCGGTGTAGCAGACGTGTCACCAAATCACCCTAAATGGTAGCCGCTAGAGAACGATCAGTCGCCACAGGCTGATACGCTCCCACTCAAACGCTCACAGCAGGACGAAACCAGAACACATATGCGCACGTGGGGATTTGGTTGGTTGCCGTTGGCGCGCTCCGCGCGCAAGTTGGGGGGTCCAGCGCGGATCCGAAAAATCCGCGCGGATTTCGGAAAGTTTACGTTTATGCCGTTTGTTGTTCCTTTATCGAAGTCGGCTCGGCATCCTGGGGCCCTGGAATGTCCTTCATGTTGGGCCGGCGGAAGGTGGCATCGTCTTGAAATACGTTATTATGCCATAGGTCCGACGGTACGTTTGTGCTAAGATGCTCCAATCTACTTTCTGTTTGGAGCGCCAGAGGGAATTTCGAGCACCAGGAAGGTGTCAGAGCTGAAGGGTTTTCATGTGTCTGGCCCTGGGAGGTGATACTCGTTCGGCACTTCGCCAGTGCGTCGGGCAGACACTGTTTCGACACTTTTCTGGGTGTTCGAACTTATGGCTGGGATGTGGTCCTGAAGTGCGATGAGGACAACATCATGCTCGTGCGGTTTTCTCTTCTTCTGTCCGTGGCATCCTGGCTTTCGGGCGCAGGCCGGGGCTCTGGAACCTGTACTGTTTCTTCATCGCGCCCGCGGTTTCCTACCTCGTCGCCGGGGTCCCCCTGTCCCTCGACGACGTGGAGAACGGCCTGCTTCGGGCGCAGCCCCGCTACTTCCAAGGGTCACATCTCTTCGAGTAGAGAAGGGTCGACTACATAGTTGATGTATTCCGAAATTGATTGTATCGTTGAACCCATGAGGAAGTACGTAGAATAGCCAGTCGATGTACGAAGTGGTTTACTAATGTTTCGTAAATTCGACCGGAAATCATCCATTCTGAGGTAAATCGATTCTGTAGTCGACCCACTGCTCGATCTTTGCTCCTTCCCTTCTCCCCGCTGCCCCCTGCCCCCTCCTCCTTACCACTCCCTCCCCCCTCTTTCCCCTCAAGCCATTGTGGGTCAGGCCTTTTGGGGGGGAGGCCCCGACTCGCACACGCGCACGCGTACTGTGTGTCGGTGTCCCGCGCGCGCGGGGCGGCCAGGCACACCCGCGGCTTGAGGGGCGCTCAGCAGGGGCAGCGAAAGTTGCGCGTGGGGCCTCGGATGGCCAAACGGGGCAAACATGATCGCCCCAGGTCGGCCAGCCGTGGTCGGAAGAACGAATATCTGGTGTGTCCTCATTGCCGTCGTTGTTGAGTCTTTGTGCACAAAGCAGGCAAGACGGAGTGGGAGGGTTGCCGAGAGTGCGGGCGTTTGTGAAAAGATCCAACCCGTACGCTCGTCGCCTTCGACCTGGGGGAGGGGGGGGCGGCAGCCTGCCCTTACGCTCCTGCCTCAAGGGAAACGGATCGACCCGAGACCCGATCCTAGAGGTGTTGTTGCCCAAGTTCAGCAAAGCCAAGTCAGACGGCGACCAGGAGACCCAGCATAAGCTCTTTTCTGTCTGCCCGTCCCTTGCGACTGAGTGGAAAGCGCCGCCCGAGGCCACGCCTGACGAGCACTTGGCTCAGGAGTCCCAGCAGCTGCGTCACCTGCAGGCCCAGCAGGTGCGGATCAAGAATCAACTCATCCAGGCTGCGCAGACGCAGAAGGACCTCCAGACCAAGCTCAGGACCAACATCGATGAGTGTTTGGCGACGCTTGCCGAGATCGACGGGCTCGTTGGCAAGACGCAGGCGGCAGGACCCCAGATGGAAGCTCGGCAGGCGCAGCAGGCACAGCGAGCAGACGACGAAGAGTTCCCAGAGTTGGGGACGGATGACTTGGCATCCCTCGGCGAGACCACACGCAAGCAGTATAAAAAGGCACCGACAGCTCCGGCAGCTGGCACAGCCAAGGACCAGGCGCAGGAGACCACCAATCCAGCGTCGGTGGACTTCACAAACGCGGCCGAGGTGGACCAGTACATCTCGCAGACGGCGGCGTTGCGCGCCAGGGCCAAGGGCGTCGCCAGCAGCAGTGCAACATGCCCCTAACAGCACCGACGCGTCTCAGAAGCAGTCAAGACCTACAAGGATGAAGAGTGGCCGCGTGGACGTGCTGTTCGCAAATGTCACGCACTACGGGGAGAAGGTGCGACACTACGTGGAGCACTGCAGTTTTGACGCGATTGACCTGGCGGAGCACCACCTGCTGCCCAAGGCCGCCAAGCAGGAGGCCAAGCAGCTGCGATTCAAGGGGTGTCAATCGCAGTTCGCACGGGCGCCAGCTACACCGACGAAGAGGAGTGCGTCTGGCACTCGCGGGGGGGCGCGCTGACTTGCCAGAGCAGGCCACGCCGCGCCCGCGCACTTGCCCGACGGCACGGGGCGAAGCGCACTCCAGAATTATATGCGAGACATCTCGATCATCCACTGGCGTCTGAAGGGGCGACGCTGGCGCTGATCTCGGCGCGCCTGGGCTGCGGCGCGGGGCCGGGTGGTTCAGCCAATGCATCCTAGATGGCGCAGTTGACTCGCGCGGTGAAGTCCTTGGGAGCACCGCGGGTTGCACTAGGTGATTGGAATAACACGCCGGCGGAGATGCAGAACTCACCGCGGTTGAAAGCCTTACGAGGGGAGCTGCTGATTCCCAGCGATTGGCACAACCACCTGCACGACGGGCAAGGGCAGGCTCATTCATGGCGGGATCGTTTCCACAGACTCCCGACCGTTCGTAAAAGATTTCAAACCAGCGAGGGCAGTAAGTACCATGGAGCCCGCATGTGGGGCTTCACCTGCGACTGCACTCTTGACCAGCGTCGGTCAAAGTGCAGATGCCCATCCAGCCAGCGAAGATCGAGATCGCCACCCACACGGCCCAGCGAGAAAAGGGCCCATGCGAGCCCGGCGAGATCGCGGGCGATATCCCAAGCTGACGCAGCACAACGATGAGCAAGGCGCCGATGCAGCGGCGCCAGGGGGCCTTCATCGCGACGAGTTTACCCAGCTCCTGGAGAGCACCTACCCGGTTAAGCAGAAGGGTGCGGCCAGTGATGAACACTGGCTCCAGGCGTTGGCAGAGACTCGAGGGCGACCAGTTCCGGAGCCTGTTGATGAGGTGGCTGAATCATGAGCGTACTCATTGGACCCCGAAGGAGCTTGCAGACTGGCCTGCCGTTCTTGGCGAGCGGTCGGTTGCTGCAGAGTCGATGTGCCCCATGACGGACTCCAAGCCTAAGAGCGCGGTGAGAAGGGGATGCAACCCCGAGTTCACGATGCGGAAGGTCACCAGCCAAGAGCAGACCGACCCATTCTTGGACGCTGCGTCGAGAGAGAAGGCCATCGCGCGGGAGGCGTCGGCGGCCAGAATGCGAGAGCTGCCGGTTCTCAAGGCCAGTCATGCGAAGGACGTCAACGCGAAGACAGTCGATGGCGCGATCAGATCTCTAAGCGAGCGCATTGCGTTACATGACCAGGCTCAGGGGGGCAGCAATGGCACGGACACAGATAAGCATGCGGACGCCAGGGCGTTGCTCAATTTATCGCGCTATTTGAACGGCACACCACGCCCTGCGCTGCGAGGCCCAGCGACAGCCGCGCCGCTTAAAAAAAAACGAGAAGGGCGAAACAAAGGCGGCAGCATTGCATCAACAGCGCGACCCTCGAATATGGACGGGGGGGGGGGGCGACCTTCTCGCACAATTGAGCGCGGAAGCAGACGAGCCAGATCCTCTTCAACAGCAGCTCGAGGAGGAGGCGAGTCCAGTTGCATCGTCGACGGCGCCAACCCCAGCGCAGGATCAGCTACCGCACTGGACGACGGGATTAAGCGTCGGATCCAGACCCAAGGCCATGCCGAGTCGCCACGACCCCCGCCAGAACGCCACCCAGGATGATCCTCAGGCTCCTGGCCAGGACCCGCAGCAGGATTCCATTGGTGGTTTGAGCGCGGCTGCGCGGGGGCGCGGACCTGCCCCGCGGGCGAACGCCACCGCCTGCCTTGGAGTGTTTGTCGAGGCTACGCAGAGCGCCCACTATGAGTCCCAGCGAGGGTTCAACCAGCCCCCCCAGCGCGGCGAGGGGTTAGGCCACGGCGGACAAGCGAGGTTGGTGCCAGGTGGGCCCTCCGCGGCGAGGACTGCGCTAGATGAGCTCCTCGCGCCCGCCACCTCCTGCAACCAGAAGGCCAACGAGGCGGAGTTGAGGACGGCGCCACGTGGGCCCCTCAGCTACGCCAGCGAGCAGCAGAACGAGGTCAGAGCAGGCCGAACTCATGTTCGAGGATACGCAGAGAGCCCATGCTTTTTCCCAGTGTGGGCCCAACCAGTCCCCCCAGCACGGCAAGGGCTCAGGCCGCGGCGGACATGCGAGGTCGGTGCCAGGTGGCCCCCCCACGGCGAGGGCTGCGCTAGATGAGCCCCTCGCGCCCGTCACCTCCTGCGACCAGAAGGCCAGCGGGGCGGAGTTGAGGGCGGCGCCAGGTGGGCCACTCAACTGCACCAGCGAGCAGCAGAACGACGCGTCGGAGCAGGCCGAACACATTGCCGAGACCTACCAGAAGGCCGCTCGCCACGCCACCCTGGCGCGGCGCGACACTCGTGCCATGGCCCGATCTTGGACCAAGAAGGCGCCATACAACTCGATGAACGGAGCACATCGGCACCTCAGTTCTGAAGAAAAGGTCGACACCAGAAACGGAGGCCTGGACCGTGACATGATGAAGCGGGAGATGGACCCGCAGCGCGGTATCCAGCTTCGACGGCGACAATGGGAGCGACGTGGGACAGCGCACAAGGGGTTCGCCAAGGTGGAGCTCCCACAGACCATGAGCCACCTGAAAGCCAAGGCCAAGGACGACCTCGTTAAGCGGCCTTACCTCACGATGGAGAGCTTGAAGATGGCGTTGAGCAGCTTCCAGGCAGGCACGGGATTAGGCGCTGACCGGTGGGCGCCCGCTCAACTCCGTGCACTCAGCCCGATGTGCAAGGAGCCTTTCCTCCGCATGCTGAACATGTGCGAGCGGCAGCTGACCTGGCCGCGCCAGATCACGCAGATGTGGCACGCATTGCTCCCGAAAGAAGAACAGCAGGTAGCAGGAGAAGAGCGGCCTATAGGGCCGATGTCGATGACGATGCGAGCATGGGGGAAATGACGAAAAACAGGTTGACGGAATGGTGTGGCCGAAAGGCGGGATTTTGGGATGCGGCGGCGAGAAAGAGTTCGGCGTCGGCGCTGCAGCCAGCGTTGCTCACATTGGTCCTGGACGAAACCCGAGCCTACCTAGATGAAGCTAGCCAAGCTACGTTTCTCCTGGACTTAGAGAAGTTCTGCGATCTGTCAGATTTGGGGGTCCCAGCTGCACGAACGAGCCTCAGAAGTAGAGTGCCCCCAGGCGAGCTGCACATGTGCATAATGTCACACCTGCGCCCTCGACTCGCCCAGGCAAGAGATCTTCAGCGGCTTGATCATCCCAGATAATGGCATGGTCCCTGGTTGTGGCAAAGCCAATCATGGAGCTCGAGCCCTACTCTACCATGTACTAGAGGAAGTGCACCTTGCTGTGCCGATAGCGAGATTGAGGCAGTTCGTAGATGACATTACGGTGCGAGTCGAGGGGCCCGACGACGCGGTAGGGGCAACGGCGTCGAGAGCAGCGAGCGCTCTGGTTGGCGGCTGTCTCACGGCGAGGCTCAAGATCTCCAGCGAGCCCACCATCCTGGCCCAGAACCCCCAGGACGCCCTCGAGGTCGAGAGGTCCCTGACAGAGCTCAACATAACCATGCAGAAAGGGAAGGGGATGAAGGACCTGGGGACCGACGACACCGTGGGGCAACGCAGATCCAGGAAAACGGTCTCGAAGCGGAGTATGTTGGGCAAAAATTTGGCCACCAGGGCCGGTTTGTTCGCTAGTTTGGGGCGTGCGCGTAGGAAGAATAGCAATTTGCTATCGAATGCGAATGCGCGGGCTAAGATGTCCTACGACAACCCCCATGCTTGCCCCCCCCCCTCCGACCCAAGTCCGAAAGCGGACAGCTCCGGCTGCGGACTTAGCTGGCTTCGAGGAGAAAGGCCGATGCACGCTACGGTCACGCTGCTGATGCGCGAGGAGGCGGACCCGTGGGCGGCGCGCGCGAAGCGCCAGGCCAAAGAGTGGCTGCGTGTAGGGGCCCACAACCCTTCCCTCAGGCAGCAGGTTCGGCGGGGATGGTCGGCCACCAAGTTTTGAACGAGCAAGTTTTAAGCCCCGTTCACGATGGCGCGCAGTGACAGGACCCATGGGGGCCATGGCGTTTCAACCCCGACTGGTCTGATGATGCTGAAGATATGTAGTGTTCTGGCCCAGTCTGTCACGCAGCAGTTGTGGAAGCAGGCCGCCCAACACAGCGAAGGGACATGCCTGGGGGACGGGGGCGACCGCACCCCGATGCGTTTGAACGTCCAGCGCATGCGCAAGAAAGACATATTTCAGGAAGCGGGGGCCCTGGAAGGGCATTGCATGTGCAACAATTTGGAATCGCGATCGCCGGCGGAGATAGCTGGATATCAGACCGAAGGCCTGCGTGCTAAATGTGACCTAGGGCCCCCTGGTACCACCCGCCATAGAACCTATGAGTGCCCTTGTCTGGCCCACATGGAGCACCCCTGGATCTCCAGGGCCGCGCGCTTGTGCGAGCGAGCGATTCGCGACCTCGATCGAGGGGCTAATGCTTCCTCGTGGCTGCGAGGGATCGCCCCCCATATTGGAATCCCGTGCCCCCCCCCCCCCCCCCCCCCACACACACACGCACACACACACACACACACACGCACACACACACACACACACACACACACACACACACACACACACCACGCACGCACGCACGCACGCACACACACACACACACACACACACACACACACACACACACACACACACACACACACACACACACACACACACACACACACACACACACACACCACACACACACACACACACACACACACACACACACACACACACACACACACACACACACACACACACACACACACACACACACACACCCCCA